CCTTATTTCTTTTTCCTCTGATCCTACTCCTCCACTGGAGGAGGGGAGTGGGATTTGTGAGAGCGGCTTCGTGGTATTGGGCTAGCCAGAGAAGACCACGACATGGTGGAAGGAGCTGTGGGGAGAAGGGCTTGAAAGGCTCGGTGTTGATGGTGGTGAGAAGGCAAGGCAGGGAGTGGAGGTGCAGGGACTCGCCAATTTTAGCAGGCTGCAGGAGGAATCAGTGTGAAATGATTTTCTTTAAGCTGAAATGTGTCAGAACTTGATCTAGTTTTAAGGAAACAAATCCTGCTCACTCGACTCCATCTCCCCTGGTAGATCTCAAGAACCCAACGGACTCTTCGGTGCATAGTCCCTTCACCAAGCGTCAGGCCTTCACGTCAACTTCAACCATGATAGAAGTGTTCATGCAGGAGAAGCAGCCCGTGGTGACTGCCTCCACAACCATGCCGGCACCCCCTTCCTCGCCGCTGCCCAGCAAAACCAACCCTGTTCCCCAGATGTCCCCAGGGTCCTCGGACAACCAGTCCTCCAGTCCCCAGCCAGCGCAGCAGAAGCTGAAGCAGCAGAAGAAGAAAGCATCGTTAACATCCAAGGTGGGGAAGGAGGCGTCGTGTTGTGTTAGAGCTGCAGAAAAACCCATTTGGGCTGGTGAGGGAAGGGCTGGGCTTGGCCTTCCTGCTGGAAGCGTTGGGTGTTTGGGGGGGGTGATGGAGAAGAGCTTGCCTGCCTGAGTTCCTGTGGCCAGCAGATGGAGGGAGGGATTCTCCCCGCTCTACTCTGCTCTCGTGAGACCCCACCTGGAGTTCTGTGTTCAACTCTGGGGCCCCCAACAGCAGAAGGACACGGAGCTGTTGGAGCAAGTCCAGAAGAGGTCACAGAGATGCCCCGAGGTTTGGAGCCCCTCTGCCCTGGGGACAGACTGGGAGAGTTGGGGGGTTCAGCCTGGAGAAGGGAAGCTCCGGGGAGACCTCAGAGCCCCTTCCAGTGCCTGGGGGGCTTTTCCTAGGGACAGGTAGTTGCAGGACAAGTGGTAACAGGTTTAAACGGAAAGAGGGAGATGGAGATGGGCCATCAGGAAGGAATTCTTCCCGCAGAGGGTGGGAGCACTGGGACAGGTTGCCCAGAGAAGCTGTGGATGCCCCATCCCTGGGAGGGGCCAAGGCCAGGCTGGATGAGGCTTGGAGCAACCTGGGCTATGGAAGGTGTCCCTGCCCATGGCAGGGGGGGGGACTGGGTGGGGTTTAAGGTCTCTTCCAGCCCAAACTGCTCTGTGATTCTATGAACAGCCTAGTTCAGAGTCTGTAACCACCGTCGCATTCTGGGAAACGTGGGTACTAAAGTCATTTTCTGTGCTGACCTCAGGGAAGGACTGACCCTTTCTGTTGTTCCTCCCGTGCAGATTCCTGCGCTCGCGGTGGAAATGCCTGGCTCAGCGGATATCTCAGGGCTAAACCTGCAGTTTGGGGCGTTACAGTTTGGTTCAGAGCCTGTTCTCGCCGAGTACGAATCGACGCCTGCAACGAGCGCCACCGTTAGCCAATCTCAAAGCAGCCTGTACACCAGCACGGCTAGGTGAGGGGCAGGCGCAGGGAGGGAACAATTAATCCAGGCTAGTAGCTTTGGAAGGCAGCTGATCCCACCTACTGCATACTAGTAGACCCTTTCTGACTGTGCCGTGGTCACAAAGGGGGGACAACGTATGCGACAGCAAAGGATAAGTTGCCGGCAGAGTCGCTCAGGCAGCTCTGACTGCTTGGCCTGTGGTGCTTACACAGAACGCAGATGTTCCTGAGGCTGTTAAACTCTGCTTCTTGGACAGGCTTCTTGTCCCTCGTTAACAGATTCTGCCTGCTTGGTCCTGCTTTTTGCCTGGCAAACCGGGACGCAGTGGAGTAGCGTCTCTGTGGCGGTGATGCCATGCCGGAGTGTTCCTGTCTTCTCTTGGGCTGACCCTTAGTATCCAGCCAGTCCCTTGAGCGCTGGGACCTGAGCGGTGGCAGCTCACAAGCCATCACCTGGAGCACCCGTGTGTGAGGCGAGGGTGCAGCTGGGCGCCAGCATCCCCCCGTGACTGGGCTAGCCCGGGCCGTGGCTGAGCTAGCCCTCGCCTGGGCGCATTTCTCCGCTCGGGTTGCTTGGCTGCTGCGTGTGGTACCTTCGTGCTGATGCTTGGGGCTCTTGGTTTTGAAGATTGTAGGCTCTTCACTTCAAATCTGGGTCAGCAGCTTACAGCAGGGCTGCTTTGGAGGAAAATGTGAACTCTTTCTTTATCATTTTTTCCCCTTTGTAGTGAATCTTCATCCACAATTTCGTCCAATCAAAGCCAGGAGTCTGGTTACCAGAGCGGCACAATACAGACAGCAACGTTTACCTCCCAGAACAGCGCTCAGGGACCACTGTACGAACAGAGATCCACCCAGACAAGGCGATACCCAAATTCAATCTCTTCCTCGCCCCAGAAAGATCTGACCCAGGCCAAGGTAGGAAAATGCCTTTGCTCACCCTTTGGGCTGAGTGAGCACAGTGTGCAAAGCATTGTCTGGAGGGAAGCTGAGTGGTTTATCGAGCGTTTCTGCGATCCTCCAGCCTCGCCATGTGGCTTGTGGGCTCTCGTGAGAGCTTCCTGCTGGCTGCTGCCAGAGCCCTTGTTATGATACTCACCTGGGGCTGGGCCAGCGGGGTTAACAGTGGTTGAGTTGATTCGGGCCGGGTGTGGTGTCACGCAGAAGTACCCTGCTGCAGAGTGGCCTTCGGGCGAAGGGTTCGGTTTTGTACAAAGGATTTGAGTCTTGCACCCTGCACACAAGTTCAGTGATGCCAGTTTTGGCTGACAAGCTCGGGTTGAAGATGCTGCCTGCTGTAGGTGAACCTGCTTTGGCAGGGGGGTTGGCCTAGATGATCTCCGAAGGTCCCTTCCAACCCTTAGATTCTGTGATGCTGAGCAGCAGAGAAACTGCGGCCTCAGATGGGCGCTCGGGGGTCATGCTAGCGGTGGCCTAGTTGTGCTTGGGACTGACCCTGACGCAGCCTGGTGACACATGTTGGCCTTTTTCACAACTGAGGAGGGAGTGTGGGAGGGGGCTGACACTGGATCCGCCTCTGGAAGCGAGCAGCTGCAATGCCCACTATTGTTTCTTTTCTCTTCTTCCGCAGAATGGTTTCAGTTCTGTACAACCCACGCCATTACAAACCACACAGGCTGTTGAAGGTAAGAGGCTGTCAGTGCAGTGGGTGTCCCACGTCTCTGGTACTGCTTGTATCCTGTGCTTTGGATGCAAACGTGCTGTTAGCACATTTATCTGTGCTAATAACAAGTCCTTTCCCTGCTGGACTAATTGCTGACGCTCAGATTATTTGCTTGCCTTGAAATGGTCAGCTTTCTGCTGATGGATCCATGAGATCCTTGATGAGTCACTCCCCGATGACAACAATTTACTGTCTGTGAAAGGCATCTCATCCGTAGCCAGAGCTGATGGCGGGGTGGGGGTGAAGTGAGACGTAGAACACAATCCCGCTGCCGCAAGTGTGTAGCTGGCTGGCAGCAGCGAGGGAAGCCCCAGATCTCCCCGCTCCTCTGGCTGAGCCTTTGCTGATCCTCACCACCGAATTGCCCTCCTGGAGCTGCCCCTAACCCCTCGCTTTTGTTCGCAGGTGCTACAGGCCCCGCGGTGAAATCCGATTCCCCCTCTGCTCCCAGTATCGCGCCTCTCAATGATGGGGTGTCTGCGTCATCCTTGCTGACGACAGCCAGCCAACACTCGACAGCTCTGAGCAGCCTGAGCCACAGCGAGGAGCTGCCCAGTACGACCACGGCCCAGCTCAGCAGGTGAGCAGGCCTGGTGGGTGGGCTTCTAGAGAAGCGGGGGTCTAGGGTAGACATCGGAGTCTGTGTCGTACGGTGGGGAAGGCTGAGATGCCCCATTCCCTCGAGTAGGTGGGGAACGGGATCTGGCCTGGGGCTGCCACTGGTGACTCTCGCACTTTGGCTTGACAACCTTTATTTCTCCTCCCGCAGTACGTTACCCACCCAGCAGAACAGTCTGTCCTCATCCACATCCTCCGGGCGAACGTCAACCTCCACTCTCCTGGTGAGTCTGGGTGTGCTCTAGTGCTGTGCACCCCCTCCTCGGCTCACGGAGGGCTGCTGGTGTGCCCAGCCCAGGGTCTGTGCTTGGGGCAGGAACTGCTGCGCACCCCTTCCTCAGCTCGGGGAGGGCTGCTGGTGTGCCCAGCCCTGGGTCTGTGCTTGGGGCAGGAACTGCTGCGCACCCCTTCCTCAGCTCGGGGAGGGCTGCTGGTGTGCCCAGCCCTGGGTCTGTGCTTGGGGCAGGAACTGCTGCGCACCCCTTCCTCAGCTCGGGGAGGGCTGCTGGTGTGCCCAGCCCTGGGTCTGTGCTTGGGGCAGGAGCTGCTGTGCACCCCCTCCTCAGCTCGGGGAGGGCTGCTGGTGTGCCCAGCCCTGGCTCTGCGCTTGGGGCAGGAGCTGCTGCGCACCCCCCCCTCCGCCCGGGGAGGGCTGCCCG